ATTTTGCTAACATGAACGACTTCTCCCTCTCTCGCCCTCGCTCTCCCTTGCTCTTGTTCTCCCTCACTCTTACTCTCCCTTGCTCTTGCTCTCTCTCTCTCCCCCTCCCTCTCTCTCTCCCCCCTCACTCTCCCTCACTCTTGCTCTCTCTCTTTTGCTCTCTCCCTCTCACTCCCTCTCCTTCACTCTTGCTCTCTCTCTCCCCCTCACTTTCTAGCTCACTCTCTCTCTCTCTCCCTCTTGCTCGCTCTCCCTCACTCTTGCTCTCTCTCTTTTGCTCTCTCTCTCTCCCTCACTCTCTCTCTCTCTCCCTCTCACTCCCTCTCTCTCCCTCTTGCTCTCTCTCTCTCTCGCTCGCTCTCCCCCCCACTCACTCTCTCTCTCTCCCCCCTCTTGCTCGCTCTCCCTCACTCTTGCTTTCTCTCTTTTTTCTCTCTCTCTCCCTCACTCACTCTCTCTCTCCCTCTCGCTCGCTCTCCCTCACTCTTGCTCTCCCTTGCTCTTGCTCTCTCTCGCTCGCTCGCTCTCTCGCCCTCTCACTCACTCTCCCTCGCTCTTGCTCTCTCTCTTTCTCCCTCCCTCTCGCTCGCTCTCACTCTCCCTCTTGCTCTCGTGCACGTGCGCACTTTCTCTGTCTCTGTCTCTATCTCTCTGTCTCTGCCATTGGGTCAATTACAGCTTACTGTGACTCGCCATTGCATTCCTGATGCTGTAAATCTTAACAGCAAGATACTTCCCATTTCTCTCGCACATGAAACTCTTAAAATATGCAAACATAAGGAGTCCTTGGGTGGGGCTGACAGCTAAATACATGGCTACTAGTGGAAAGATTGGCAGTTTGAACTCCCCCAGAGGCCCCTCAGGATAGGCCTGGTCATCTGTTGATGCAAGTGCCCAGCCACAGAGCAGTTCATATCCATAGGCCACAACACAGACCAGGCTAGATGCCAACTATACCACGGCACCTAGAGAGCCGAGTTTAACTGGGGCTTTCCGGTTGAATGGGGAGGGAAGGCAGGGCTATGTGTCTTAGCTAACATTGGGTCTCTGTCTGTGGGTCATTCTTGAAGCTATTCAACAAAAAGAGAGTGACCTGCAGACCTGCAGCAGTGGGCACACCAGATCACATATCTGATTTGGCATGCCAAGGAACTGATCTGGGCCCGACAGGTCTGTGCATTGGTCGTCTAGAGCAACTCCACACTCCAGGATGTGGGACACTTGGCTCAGGATCTCCACCTCATCCCAGATTTCCCTCTGGGACCGTAGAGGCTCTCAAGCCAAAATCTCTTTCCTTGTGGATTTGGCCCTCACCTCAGTGAGAATGAGCGTATTTGATGGATTTTTCTTTTTTTCCTTAATAAAGGTCCACTGGTACAGCGCTTGGTCCATGTAGGCTTCTCCCTCACTCCTGGTAGCAGTGATGATAAAAGTAATAGCCTAAAAGATATTCTTCCTCATTTATTGAGCCTTTATGGAGGAATAGTCTCAGCTCTTTCTGTGTAGACACTGGCAGACTCCCGGGGGATGCCTCAGAGGGACCTTGACTTCTTGGATGGGAATTTTGCTTCCTGATGGGTGTCATGATGACGTGTGGGTCCCTCTACCATGTCTACCTTTTATTGTACTTGGTAAAGCAGGGGTATCTGTTGAAATAGAACCTTTAGTTTGATAGACTAAAGAAAGTGGCAGTGGATGTTAGTGATGGTTGTACCACATGACTGTTCTAGCCATTCAATGGACAATTACTTTGACATCAAGAGAAATAAAATCCTAATTGTTATTTATTGGTTTCATTAAATTGACAGGTGAAACATGTTGAAATGGTAGATGTTGTTAGGTCAGTACAATTCACTGTTAACAACAGATCTGAGCCCTGTCCTATCCTCTAACACCCTCAAAATCTCTGATGTGAGCACGTGGCTTCAGTCTCTGTGTCAGGGCACCTGGTTGGAGGCCTTTCCTCTCCTTCGCCGTCCCTCCACCTTCCCAACCAAGCATGATGTCCTTCTCCAAGGAATAGCCTCTCCTCTGAACATGCCCGAAGAATGTGAGATGAAGTTTTATCATCTTTGCCTCGAAGGAACACTCTGGCTGCACCTTCTCCAAGACATATCTGTTTGTTCTGTTGGCAGTCCATGGGATATTCAGTACTCTTCTCCAACACCACACAGTTCTAAGGCATCAATCCTTCTGTCGTTCTTATTAATTGTCCAGCTCTCGGATGCATAGCAAATGACTGAAAAGTCCATGAATAAGGGATCCTAATATCATTGCTCCTCAGTAATTTGGAGAAGTCCCTGATTGCAGACTTTCCCAGATGCATCTCCTGATCTGCTGACACCAATTTTATTGCTTGTGGATCCAAGTTAAGATGACGTTGTTGACAGTCTCAGTCTCTTCTCCATCTACCATGATAAGAATTTTTGTTTTCTTGATGTTGAGATGCAATCCATATTGAAGACTGCATTCTTTGATCTGCAGCACGTACTTCAAGTCCTCCTCACTTTCAGCAAATAAAGTGGTGTCGTCTGCCTAACGAGGGTTATTGATGAGTCTTCGTCCAATCCTGATGCCACATTTTTCTTCATAGAGTTCAGTTTCTCAAATAATTTGCTCTGCATACAGATTGAATAGAGAGGGAGAAAGAAACAACCCTGACGCACACTTTTCTTCATTTTAAACCATGTAGTGTTCCCTTGTTCTGTTTGTACAACAGTCTTTTGGTATAGGTAGCTGTATTTTTGCAACAATGACGAGATAAGGATGACAAAAATAATAGCTCTAAAAAGAATATTTCTGACTTACTGAGTTCTTAGGGTGGACCATGGTGCTAAACACCTCACCAGCATTTCCCTTCCCTGCCTGGCTGTTCTGATCCTGTATTGCCAGAAGTGACAGAGGAGCTGATGTGCACTGAGTGTTCTGTCCTGTTGGTAAGAGGTGGAAGCTTAGAGAGGTGAACTGGGCAAAGTTCCGTGGCTGGTTTGTGGGCATACTCGGGTCTGGCACCCAGCCAAGCATCCTTACTCGTTAGTCCACGGTCATTCGTAGATGTCAATGAGATTGTTTCTGTAGGCTGTTCAGTGCAGCATCTGAGCAAAAGCTCGCACAAGTAGCTATGTTAATGAGTGATCAAGCCAGGCTTTTTCTTCCTGCTAAGACATTGCCATTCCTGTCTGGTTTTGGAAGCTGCCATGGATTATGTTGTATCTCCACAAAGTTGTCGTTGTTATGTGCCATCGAGTTGACTGCGACTAAGTGACACTCTGAACCACAAATCTGAACTTTGCCCCTCCTCATGTTAATGCCCATGTTGTAGTCACTGTGTCAGTTTTGTTTTCTTTCACTGACCCTCTGTCTTTGCAGCATGACCCTCATCCTTTTCTCTCTCCAAGGACTGGTCCCTCCTGAAAATATGCTCAAGGTAATTGAGACAAAGTTTCACCATCGTTGCCTCTAAAGATCACTCTGGTTGCACGCCTTCAAGACAGATTTGTTTATTCTTTCTGGAAGTCCATGGGATATTCTCCACCGACACCACAGTTTTATTCTTCATTAATTCTTCTGTTGTCTTTATTGATTGTCCAACTTTCAGATGCATAGGAAGCAATTGAAAACACTATAGCTTGCATCAGGTGCACCTTAGTCTCTAAAGTGGCATCGTCACTCTTTAGACCATTGGTATGGTCCCTGATGCAGATTTTCCCATTGTAACATATCTTTTGATTTCTTGACTGCTGAAAGACACACAAGTGTTGAGGACTTTCCTTTATAGGGTCGCTATGAGTTGCCTGTGACTCGACAACACTTAACAACAATAACATCAGCATAGAGAGTGATCCCTTGGCCCAGTGGATAGAAAGTGATGCTACCAAGCCAAAGGTGGGTGACTTTTAACCCGCAGCTCTCAGGCCTGTCTTTCGTTGTTTTTGTTCAGACATTCCTCTAGGTCGTATAGCCCTGGTGTACAAGTTGCCATACTGCGGTCACTTGTGGTTGCTGTGAGGCTGAACACTGTGACACTGATGTGTCAGATGCGTTAATGGTTGGTTACCCATGGCGGACAGTGTTTTGTGGAGCTCCCTGATTAAAACAAGCTTGCCTTCGAAAATCCTATGAACCTGGAGAGAGGATGAAAGGCACACTCGTGTTGAGGACTTTCCTTCATAGGGTCGCTATGAGTCGCCTGCGACTTGACGGCACTTAACAACAACAACTACCATGATTGCTGATTGTGCATCCAAGTAAGATGAAATCGTTGACAACTTCAGTCTTTTCTCCATCTTTCATGGTATTGCTTGTTAGTCCAGTAGTGAGAAGTTTTGTTTTCTTGATGTTGAAATATAACCCATATTGAAAGCTGTAGTCATCATCACTCTTCATCAATAAGTGTTTCAAGTCTTCTTCAGTGTCTGCAAGCAAAGCTGTATCATCTTCAGAACACGGGTTGTTGATGAGTCTTCCTCCAGTCATGGTGCCACATTCTTCTTAATAGACTAAAACGTCTCAAATGATTTACTCAGCCTGCAGATTGGATAGATATGGAGAGAGGTTACAATCCTGACACACAGCTTTTCTGATTTTAAAACATGCAGTGTTTTCTTGTTCTATTCAGACAACTGTTTCTTGGTCTGTGTACAGTTTTCACTTGAACAAAATTAAGTGCTCTAGGATTCCCATTCTTATTCATATTAGCCCTAGTTGTGACAATCCACACAGTCAAATGCCTCTGTCCAGTCGGTAAAACATAAGGGAGTTATATTTATTTAACAATATTACATAGACACTGTATCATGGTTCCTGTGATCCCAATAAATCAGATGGTGTTAGGAGAATTATAGGTGGGAGGGAACACGTGCTGATTGGGTGTGAGGGGAGTTCCCTAGGGTGGGACCTCAGTACCCCCAGAAGGGGAGTGCTGCTTTTTGGACCTGGGCTACAGTTCAATGCAACTCTTAACACCAGAGAAGGCCAGGACACGTGAGGGTCTCCAGTGAATGCCGCAGGTGCTGAAGGAAGCAAGGACTTGCCTCCACAGCCAACGAGAAAGGCCCAGCCCACAGAGTCGGCAATCTAAACTTGACCTTCTAACCTCCTAGGCACACAGTTTGAATCCACCAGCAGATCCTATAGAGAAGGATGGGTAATCTACTCCTGTGTGGTTTATGGCCTTATGAAAACCCTCTGGAGGGTCAGCTATGAGCTGGTTCCGACTTGACACCAAACAGCAACAACACACTGAATTTCTGTTGTTAAAGTTGTCCTTGTCGGGTACCATGGAGACTCAAGCTCAGTTGTTCTGACAGAAGTGCAGTTGGAAAGAGAAATTGTCTCTTGCTTGGCAGAGCAGCACAGCTTACACCTAGCGTTGACCAGTGAAAACTGGGGATATAGATGATGTCCAACGCTGTGGTGGGAGTGTTAATCCACAGAATGGTTCTGAAAAGCAGATGGTACCGTAGGTAAAGCAATTGATGCTTAACCAGAAGGCCATGGGTTCATATCCACCAGCCTTTGCTGGGGAAAGATGTAGCCATGTGTGAAGACTGACCTGGGAAACCTTGTAGGGTGTCTGGGAGTTAGAATCCACGCAGCAGCCATGGGTTTGATTCTAGAATGTCTGCCAAATCTAGAAATGCACATCCTCTTTGACCAAGCATTTCCTCTTGGAATTATTCTACAAAATATACCATGAATCCAGGATTGTTGGAGAAGAATGTTTATTCATCACGGCATTGTTTATAGATGTGAATGATGGGAAACCATCCAAATGTCTGCCAGTAAAACAGTGAATGCTTAGATGACAATCTGATTTTACACTGGAGGCCCGAGGTGGAGTAGACCAAAGTGCTCAACTCCTAATGAACGCTTGAGGGTTCAAAGCCCCTCAAAAGGCAGGAGTGCGGCCAGCTTCTAAAAGGTCCCAGCCATGGGGACCCCAGGGAGCAATTCTGCTCCACACACATGACCACCAGCAAGAATCAGCAACAACTTATTACTGAAGTGTTGTACGTTATATTTTAAAAAGATTGTGTAGAGCTATATGTGGTCACAATATGAAAAGCTTCCCAGGTTTCTCTAAGAGCAGGGAAAAAACCCTGTAAAATCTTGGAATGGTCCATCTTTTTTAGAAAATGTTTATGGGTTACAATAAAATTATGTTGCACACAAGTGTATTTGTAGTTCTCCCATGAATATAAGCATTTACTAAAAGAGAAAGGGAGAGAGTGAGTGTGTGTGTGTGTGTGTGTGTGTGTATGTGTGTAAAAATGTTCAAAACCAGAAGTACTTCTCTGTGTTTTCAATGCTGTGACTTTCCAAAAGCAGATCTTTAAGCGTGCCTTTCAGGGTGTCTCTGGGTGGGTCTGAACCACCAATTTTGTGAATATTATTTCAGTTTTTAATCATTATCAACTCCCAGGCAGTCCACAATAAATAGCTGCAATAAATGCTTAATAGGTTGCATCGGGTATTCTAAATAGATATGTACTTAATTTTGCAAAGGAGCCTTGATATGTTGGTGCTTTACGTTTTGGGCTGCTAGTCTGAAGGTTAGTAGTTCAAATCCACCACCTGCTCCATAGGAAAAAGATGAGACAAATCTCTTCTTGTGAAGATTGGAGTCTTGAAAACCTGATATGGAGGTTCCCTGTGAGTCAGGACCAAGTGATAGCAGTAGGTTTGTTTCTGAAAATGTTCCTTTAAGTGATTGTAAATATTTTTATTTGAAAAAAAAATTTTTTTTCTGGCAAGTACTCTATTGAGAGTGTAATCAAACATGCTAAAATTGTAGATTGCAAACTGATGAAGTTTTTTTACTGAAGTCCGTCACAGGGATATCACCGAATCACGTGTTGTGAAGGAAATTATTTCACAATACATCCTAGGAGGGTTGGCGGCTGTTCAGAAGTCCTCTTCCTCTTTTGAGCTTCAGCAGTTTGTGTGGTCAAGCACAAGGCGATGACAAGCTGACCAAGCATGGTTAGAGCTCTCTCGGCCTGCTCATTTTCTGTCAGATCAAGAGGGAGGCTGTGTGTCATGAGCATCTTATCTAAGGCCATCTCACAAGTCCTCTTTCCTTGTAAGTGGCCTGCTTTCTGGAATGAGGTCCCGGTGCCTGCTGTTCGCATCCTTGTTCTGTGCTGTTGAAGGTGCCTCGCGCTAAGCGACAGTGATTCAGATCATCCCTGCTGCAGAGCAAGGGTGGAGGGACCGCTGGGCCCCCTGCTCTTGGTTACCTCGTGGGCACTCGCTGCAGAACAGGATCTCTGTAATCATCATGGGCGCAGGAACGTTCGTCAGGACCCAGCTCTGCACTGGGCACCACGCTGGCTCTAGGAAAATTCCACTTAGTCTTTCTCCAGCGAGGTCAGTGTTTTTCATCTCCATTTTGCAGTCAGGAAAACCCAGGGTAGGAGAAGTTATGCTGCCTGCAGTTAAAGCTAGAGAAGTGGTGGAAGGAAGTGTCAGATTCCGTTTCCATTGGTCCAGAAGGCCACCCTCTTGTAGGAGACCCGGGTTCAGTTCCTTTGTGTAGCCAGTGGGGGCATACGTGTTGTTGTAAACAGAAAATTCAGCTTCTAGAGTAACTAAGAAGAAAGGCCTGGAAAGTGATTTCTTAAATATCAGGCATTCTCTTATTGCCAGTGATTTGGAGCATTTTTTCATGTGTCTGTTTGCCATTCGAATGTCTTCCTCTGTGAATATTCTTTCCATGTCTGTTGCCCACTTTGTAATTGAGTTATCAGTCTTTTTCTTGTGAAGGCCCAGGAATATTCTGTAAACTTTTGTTGTAAGACTCTTGTCTGAGATGGTATTATGAAATGTTTGTTCCTAGTCTGTAGGTTTTCTTTTCACCCTGTTGGAAAAAGTTTCTGATGTGCATAGAGATTTCATCTTCAGAAGGTCCCATGCATCAATTTTATCCTCTTTAGAGTGTGCATTTGTGGTTGTATTTGGCAATCTCTTTATACCTTGGACTAGGACTTCTTTTTTTTTTTTTGGACTAGCACTTCTAAGCTTGATCTCAGTTTGTCTTTTATGAACATTATGGTTTTAGGCTTTACTCCCAGGTCTCTGATCCACCTTGAGTTGATTTTTGTGTATGGTGTGAGATGTAGATCCTGTTTCAGCTTTCTGCAGGTGTAAGACCAGTTTTGCCAGCACCATTTGTTGAAGAGGTTATCATTTCCCCATTTGATAGCTTTGGTTTCCTTGTCGAATATCAGGTGACCATAGATAGCTGATAGCAGATAGCAATGAGGTACCATCTCACTCCAGTTAACAGTGGCAAAGTTTAACAGGGCAGCAAGTAATAAATAGAATGTGGTAAGAAAGGAACTCTTATACATTGTTGGTGGGATTGTAAAATGGTACAACCATTCTGGAAGGCAGTTTGACACTTCTTCAAAAAGCTGAACATAGAAATTCCAACTATAACCCACCTATTCCACTACTTGGAATATAACCTGAGAAAATGAGAACTGAAGCACAAACTGAGATTTGTACACCAGTGTTCATAGCAGCATTATTCACCATAGCAGGAACATGGAAACAGCCCAGCTGTCCAACCACAAATGAATGGATTGAGAAATGATGGTACATTCACACAATGGAATACTATGCAGCATGCAGGAGCAATGATTTTGTAAATTTTTACCTAACTTGGGAGGGACTGGAGATCATTATCCTGAGTGAACTAACTCAGTCCCACAAGGATACATACTGTATAAAACCATTACTGTAGAATGAGTATAGGGATCCAAGAGAGGTGGGAGAGGCTGCAAGTTGAGCGAGGTGGATGTGCTGGGGGGTGGGGGAGGAGGGAGATTAATCATCGAGTTGTACAATTTGGTGGGGTGGAGGGTGAGGGAAATGGAAAGAATTTATTCTTGAAAACAAGGTTTTCAACATTTTGTAATAAATATTTTGTAAATAAACTAGTAGAAAATAAAAAAAAAACCACCACAAAATCCAAAATATCCAGACACTGAAAACCCTCTTCATCACAGCAGAGCATGAAGACAGGGCAGCTCCCATAGCGTGTCGCACTTGTTGGGGGTTTTCAGAAACAACAGTGGCCTCATTCTTGTCTAGTGTTGTGGGCCAAAACTGATTCTCCTACAAGGGAGCTCTGGTGCCTAGTGGTAAGAAGCTGCACTGCAATCCAAAGATACTCTCACTCATGGCACTCTGGTTGTAGAACTGTGCGTTCCTTTTTTCCAGATGGAATTATTATTTTTTTTTTATACCTTAGAGGACATGTTTATGTAAATCTGGCAGAATCTTCCAATATGTCTAGGTGGGGGTTTTGTTTTCTTTGTCTTTTTTTTTGTTGTTGTTGTTATCTTTCTTAAGACAAATAGGTCTGTCTTAGAGTGAGACCAAGTTTCTTCTAGGAGGCTAGGATTTTGAAGCTCCGTCTCACATACTTTAGGCACATGGCCAGGAGGGACTGATTCTTGGAGAAGGACATTATGCTCAGAAGGGTGGAGGGACAGCGCAAGAGAGGAAGATCTTGGATGAGATGGATTGATTCAGTAATTGGGGCAATGGGGGTAGGTGTGTGGGAGTCAGTGAGAATGGCTCAGGACAGGGCAGGCTTCAGAGCTACTCTACATAGAGTCGCAGGCATCTTGACAGCACAGAACAATAACAACAGTAACCACAGCAGGCCGTTGTGAAGTTGTAATGTGAATTTAAACACTTTTAAAAATAAATTATTTCCTAGGAAATGACAAAGCCCCCTCTTGGATGCTGTTCACCAGCCACGCTGTGGATGCTGCATGGAAGACAGTGAAGGGGTCCGTGGTGCTGTCAGCCTCCTTCTTGCTGGCCACCGTCTGCTACTTCAGAGGGCTTTATTTATACTTGGGGCATCGGCTGAAATGGTAGGTTGTTGTACCATCTCCACATTTTAAAAATGCTTTTGCCGTCCAAAGAGGACCTCTGATGTCATTGTTTCTTTTCTCTTTCAGGTGGGTTGGCTATCTGCAGAGAAAGTTCAAAAGTAAATATTTCTCTCTCTCTCTGTGTGTGTGTGTGTGTGTGTGTGTGTGTGTGTTTCTTATCTTTAAGCTGGGGGAGCAGCTCGAGCAGGGCAAGGGCGGGAGAGATTAACTGCCTGCGATTTTTCCCTCTTGTCCAGAGAACCTCAGCGTGGAGGCAGAAGTTGACGTGCTCAGTTATTGTGCAAGAGAATGGAAAGGAGAGACGCCCTGTGCCAAGCTGATGAAGAAGGTGTGTCTGTTTATAAAAGCGAGGGGAGAACATAGAATTTTTCCATGCAAACTGGTGGGGGGAAGCAGACATTCTTCTCAGCTTTACTAAATCTACAGATCCACTGATACCGAGTGTGATACCAGCCAGCACCGTGGCTTTGATCCAGAAGCCAAAGTCAGAACCCTTGGCTCTTCACCACGCACCCAGAGCTGGCTACTTGGAGCACTAAGCAGAGCAGGGCTGTAGTCTGGGTGACCGAAACCCTAGTTACGGCTCTTCTCAGCCCTCTCCTGGAGGGGCCTGTCAGACTTCTGCACCCAGTGAAAGAAAGCTTCAGTGCTTAAAGGCACCACACACCTGGATGGAATTTAAAGGTGGTTTAGAATTTACCATCAGATCAAAACCAAACCTACCGACATTGAGAGATTCCAAGGCATAGTGAATGTCTAAGACAGGAGTGGAATTGCGCCAAAAGGTTTTTCCAAAACTGTAATCTTTTTTGTTGTTATTTTTTTATATTCTCTTTTCATTATTATTAATTTTAATGAACATTCAGAGATTTTGGATTCCCATTCATTCGTTGTTGCACTTTTCTCCCTGCCCACCCGTCCCCTAAAACTGTAATCTTTACAGAAGCAGACTGTCACATTTCTTTTCCATGACCCAGCAGGAGTGTTTGAACCACCAACTTTTCAGTTGTCAGCCGAGAAGTTTATTTTTTAATACATTTATGTGCTTTATATTCATTTAACGTCCACGGTTGCCCTGTAGGAAGTGACTGCTATTAAGGGCCACTGAGTTGGTTCCCAGGGTTGCAGTCACACTGTCAGTCCTTGAAGGTCTTTCTCGACTTTGCTGACTCTCTTCTTTACCAAACACAGTGTCCTCCAGGGATTGCTCCCTCCTGTTAACCTGCCCAAAGCTATTGAAAGGACTTCTCACCCTCCTAACTTCTTTTTTTCCTAAGCTGGTCAAATGATGCAGTGGTAGTGGAGAAGGAACAAAGAACATTGGTTTTTCAATTTCTTGTATACTCTCAAATCAGGCTCACCTAACACAGGAGGAGATTGGCCCTCCTTCCCCAGCAGAGCAACTGGTGGACTCGAGCCGCGCGCCTTTGGGATTGCAGTGCAGCTTCTTGCCGCTGGGCCACCAGCGCTCTCCCTCCTAACCTCTAAGGAAATTCTGACCGTACTTCTTCCAGTGCGCTTTTGCTTGTTCTTCTGGCAAGTCTGTGGTGCATTTAATATTCTTTGCCAGCCTTGTGTCTCAAAGACATCACCTCTCCCTCTGTCTCTGTTGTACATTGCCCAGGCTTTCACATGCCTATGGGGCATCTGAAAAGGCCCTGGCTGACTCAAGTCAGCTGATGACATAAGCCACCGTGCCGCTTGGTAAATATTCCTACCAATACTGCCCGACCCTGTCATTTGCAAAAGCAAAACATAAGAGGGGTGCATTTAAGGTAACTCCTGCTCATGGGCTTAAAATGAGCTGGTATTTTTCACTGTGACTGTGATCATAGCTTCCTAGAATGATACTCTGTGACCCTGGACTTGTTTGTTATTTTTTTTGTTCATTGTTGCATTTTTCCCCTGCCCAACCTACCCCCCAGTTCACTCTTCTCTTTGAAAAGTAAAAAATTCTTTCCTTGTTATACATACCCTCCCCACAAGTCCACTCCACTATGCAGCCTTCATTCTGGACTCCTGTCATGACAATAATATATCCCTTTTAAAGAGTTCTCTCGCTCATCTGTTCCAATGCAGTATACATCATTTATCCCATCTTTCTCAGTCTCTCCCCCAACCCTGATGTCAGGCCTGTTTTACAACAGTGACACTATGCCGTATTTGTCCTTTTGTGACGGATATATTTCACTCAGACCCTGGACTTCTACCTGTTTGTTGTCTAATTTTTACACAGTATAGACTCCATCCATGTGAGTTGTTTTATGTGCTGTTGAGTAGCTTGTGACTCATAGCGACTCTGTACAACAGCCCTAAACCCTGCTCTGTCTCTTGCCAAGCTTATTGTCTCTGACACACCTATGCCCGTTACCTCAGTGACGGAATCAATCCATCTCATCGAGGGTCTTCCTTTCCTGTGCCATCACTCCACCCTCCCAAGCATGACGCCCGTCTCCAAGGACTGATCCCGCCTTGCAACATATCCAAAGTATGTCAGACGAAGCTTCAGAATCCTTTCCTCTAAGGAGCAGCCTGGCTTTACCTTCTTCAGGATGAACCTGTTTGTTCTCAGCAGTCCATGGTATATTCAGTACTCTTCGCCAACACTACAGCTCAAAGGCATCAATTCTCCTTCTATCATCTCTAGTCATTGTCCAGCTCTCAGATGCATAGCAAGTAATGATAAAGACCATGGCCTGGATCAGGCGCACCTTAGTCTCCAGACTGACATCGTTGCTCCTTAGTACCTTGGAGAGGTCTCTGACAGTAGACTTTCCCAATGCAGTCCACATGAGAGGTGCTTTAAAGTGCCATGTGGTCCTAAGTCATCACTTAGCGGTAATTTTGTTCTGTTGTCCATCTTTAGTTGGGAGCAAACACCTCACTGAAAGTCCCATGAACTCTCTGCCTCTCTTCGCCCATGGAACTACAAAACAGCTGTGTCTCTCTTTGTGTCTCTAGGCTTATGAGGAGCTGTTCTGGCGGCATCACATTAAGTGCGTTCGCCAAGTGAGGAGAGATAACTATGATGCGCTAAGATCGGTGCTCTTTCAGATATTCAGCCAGGGCCTTGCTTTCCCCTCCTGGATGAAAGAAAAAGACATTGTAAAGGTATGTCTGTGCCCCCAACACACACGGGACATATCACATGGGCTCTGGGTCACTGTTTTACTCCTGCATTACTTGGGGCAAAAGAATGTGGAATGTGCTAAAGGCTTGGTGTTTGAAGGAACTATGAGAGGTCTTTTAGCCAGTTCTCATCTGTTGTTGTTGCTGTATACTGTTGAGTCAGAACTGACCCATAGCTGACCCTCCAGCAGGTTTTCAGTCAGTAAGTCAAATAGGTGGAGAGGTAGCTGAAGAGCTGGTGGGTTCAAACCGGGTACCTTTGGGATTGCAGCGCAGGTTCTTAACACGAGGCCACCAGAGCTCCCTCATTCTCACATTCTCATCTGAGTTTGCAAATAAGCCATCTTAGAAAAAGAACTGTACTCAGGTTTGTGTTTATTATGCTTTGTTTTCCTGATGTCCTCATCTTAACATCATCAACATCATCAGCAAAGAGAGCTGATAAAAGTCACCATTCTACTTTATAGAATTAAGTGAATTTTGACTGAGTTTGACTAGTTGTGTGACCATTCCATTCAAGGGCTCCTTCCTGTCTCTTGGGGGTGGTGGTGGTATTGTTGTGGAATCTGAAGCTGACCCTCCTGTGACTTTTCAGAGCCAATAAATCACACAGGAGGAGATAGCCTATTTTTCTTCCACTAGGCAGCCAGTGGATTTGAACCACACACCTTTGTGTTGGCAGCGCAATTCCTTACCACTAAGCCAGCAGAGCTCCCTTATCTTTTTGTAGTCAAGCCTTTTCTAACTCCCTCAGCCCCAGGTGACCAGAATATGCTTTCTGTCCCTATAGTTTTGCCTTCGTAAGACAGCATGTGGCCTGCCACCTAACAGTGGCAGGACCTGCATGTTGTTCTTTGGATTGGCAGTTTACTCCCTTCTGTTCTCGAATGTCATGTCTATAAGTGAGTATAAAGAGTTTGTTTATCCGTGCACCAGATGAAGGAGAAGTGGGCTATTTCCATTTCTGGATGGTATCAATCAAACTGTTATGTTTGTAAAGGGGATTTTTGAGAAACAGTATTTGGTTGTGCTTTTGATGGAAGTGTATACAGCAAAGCAGGCCTCCAGTCAGCAGTTTCTGCGCTTACCCTTCTGTGACAGTGACTGCGTTCTCACAGGTGCCCGCATGTGCCTTAGTTCATTCACAAACGGGACGTTGGGAGCATCAGTTTTTATTTCTTCTGGGTAAATACCTACATGTGGGATTGCTGGGCCTTCTGGGAGGTACATGTGCCTCTTTAGAGAAATTCTGCTTTCTAAGAAACTTAGGACTTTGTTACTTTATAGGAAATGACCAGAATGTTTTCCCAAGTCCCATCCAGAGTAATGGATAAACCTTCTGTTGTTGTTGTTGTTGTTATGTGCCGTCGAGTCATTTGCAACTCATAGCGATCCTATGTACAACAGCCCTAAACCCTGCTCTATCCTGTGCCAATCTCATTGCCTCTGACACACCCATCCCGATTACCCCAGTCACTGAATCAATCCACCTCATAGAGGGTCTTCCCCTCCTGCGCTGTCCCTCCACTCTGCCCAGCAGGATGTCCCTCTCTAAAGACCTGTCTCTCCTTACAACATGTCCAAAGTATGTCAGGCGAAGCCCCAGAATCCTTGCCTCCAAGCTTGGTTTAACCCTCTCTAGGATGAATCTGATTGTTTTCTTGGCAGTCCATGGTACTCTTCTCCAGCACCACAGCTCAAAGGCGTCAATTCTCCTTCTATCCTCCTTAGTCATTGTCCAACTCTCTGATGCATAACAAGTGATTGCAAAAACCATGGCCTGTATCAGGCGCACCATAGTCTCCAGAGAGACACCGTTGCTCTTGAGTACTTTAGAGAGGTCCCTAACAGCAGACTTTCCCATCGCAATACGTTTTTTGATTTCCTGGCTACTGGTGCCAAGAGTGTTGATCGTGGAGCCGAGCAAACTGAAGCTGTGAACAATCTCAATCTCTTCACCATCCATCCTGATGCTACCGATTGGTCCAGTGGTGAGAATTTTTGTCTTCTTGACATTGAGCCTCAGTCCATATTGAAGGCTGCAGTCCTTGACCCTCTGCAGTAAGTGCATGAGGTCCTCCTCAGTTTCAGCGAGCAGGGTTGTGTCATCTGCATAACGCAGATTGTTGATAGATCGTCCACCAATCCTAACGCCACGCTTCTCCTCATAGAGCCCAGCCTCTCGGATAATCTGCTCTGCATACATGTTGAAAACATATGGAGATAGGACACATCCCTGGCGTACACCCTTCCCAATTTTGAACCATGCAGTGTTGCCCTGCTCTGTTCTGACAACAGCCTCTTGGTCCAAGTATAGGTTTTGCATTAGCACGATTAAATGTTCTGGGATTCCCATTCTTCTCAGTGTCAGCCACATTTGTTATGATCCATGCAGTCAAATGCCTTTGCATAATCAATGAAACACAGGTAGACATTCTTCTGGTTTTGGCTAAGATCAAGTGTAGTGTGTAGTATAAACCTTCTAGTTGCTCCGTATCCTTGTGAGCATTTAGTGGTGGCAGATTTTTGTAAGCCATTCTAATACCTGAGCATTTGTATCATTGTGGTGTTAATTTGCATTTCATTAATAAGTGAAAGCGTTAGGCATTTTGCATGTGCCTGTTTGCCTTCCATATTGTTATCTTGAGGGAATCATCAGGTATTATGCCCATTTTTAATTTGTTTTCTCAATACTGATTTTTGAGAATTTTGTCTGTTCTGCATACACAAGCTTTATCAATACATACTTTTCACATATTTCCTTTGTCTATAGTTTGTATTTTCATTGTCTTACCAGTGTGAAGACAGTAAATTCTTAATGCATAACCTCAATTTTTCTTTTAAAATGCAGTGAGCCAATCCTGAATGTACATTTAAGGATGGAGCGGCAAGGAAGTATAAAGCAAAGGCAGCTGGTACCTTAGTGTGATCAGGACACCTGACATTTCTCATTAGAACTGCTCTCAGTCTAATTTCAACCAACAAACAATACCTGTCAAATGTGTGCGGGGGGTGAGCATGCCACTGGGTGCTAGGGACAAAGACTGGGACGTAATTCATCATATAGACTGTAGATGTGTATGAGTGCTCGTGACTGAGCGGTAAGGATTTGTGCTGCTAACCCAAAGGCATGCAGTTCAAATCCACCAGCTGCTCCATGGAAGAAAGATGGGCAGTCTGATTTACTAAATTACTGTGTAGTTTACTGCCTCTGAATATTTGCTGGAGGGTCAGCTTTGGATCACTTATGACTTAGCAGTCTTCAACACCAACAGAGAAAGAGAGGAGAGGGGAATGGAGGGGAAGGGAAGGGAAGGGAGGGAGACAGACAGCAAAGAAGGAGAAGGAAAGGGGGATGACGGAAAGAAAGGGAGGGAAAGAGAGATATGCTTTGCAGAGTTTTCATGGGATCCAGCCGTATCTTTTTGTCCCTGTGTTAATGCAAAAAAGGGAGCTTTGGTGGCCCAGTGGGTAAGGAGTTTTACTACCAACCAAAAGGCAGCCAGTTTGAATCCACCAACTGCTGCATCGAAGAGAGAGAAACAGTCTCCTTCGGTGCACTTGACAGCCTCTGAGGACCCACTGGAGGGTCAGCTGGGCGAGTTCTGCCTTGACCACAGTGAGTTAAGTTGAGATTATATAATGGAGATCTTGGACTCAAGATTCTAATGTGGAAAATATCTTTGGTGCCTGGGATGGACCGTTATCTTATTCAGCCCTAACAAAATCAAAGCAAATGTCTTGCCTTTAAGTTTATTCTGACTCATAATGACCCTCTAGGACAGAGCAGAACGACTTGATAGGTTCTCTGAGGCTGCAGATCTATACAGAAGTAGACTTCTGTTGCTTCTTTCTCTCAAGAAGTAAGAGGTGGGTTTGAACTGCTGACCTACGGATTAGTAACCCAACACTTAACTCACTGTTCCACCGGGCTCCCAACCCTAACGAGAGTGCTGTAAAATGGCCTGGCTTTTCATTTTTATTTTATACTGGTTTACTTCCAAAGTTTGTATACATTGTTTTTCACACCGGATCGTTCCCCTTTTCTTCCCCCCCCCCATCATATTTTGCAACCCTGTGACTAAAGCCCCTTCCAGATCCCCACCTCTCTGCTTCCCCCTCCCAGCCTTGGATCCTCGTACTCATTCTACACTAATGGTCTTCTACAGTATTTGCCTTTATGAGACTGAGTTAGTTCACTTAGCATAATGCTCTCCAGTCCGTCCCGTGTTAGGTAGTAATGAGCAATGATTTTGTAAGTAAAATGGCCTGTTACTGTTAGATGCCGTTGAGTCAGCTATGACTCACAGGGCCTCTAAGAACAATGATCTGAACCCTGTGCTATCCGGTGCCCTCCTCATCATCTGTGATGTGCTTGAGCCCACGGTGAGAGCCACTGGGTCAGTTCATCCTGCCGAGGGTCTTACCCTCTTTCACTGACCTTCCACATTTCCAAGCATGGTGTACTTCTCCAGAGACCAACCCCTCATAACATCCCCAGCATATGAGAGGAACCCTCCACCGTGGCTGTACTTCCTCTAACCCATGTTTGTTTGTCCTTTTTGGCAGCCCATGGAATATTCAGTACTCTTCTCCCGCATCATAACTCTTAAGTCATTGATTCTTCTGTCATCCTCAGTCTCAGTCATTGTCCAACTTTCAAACAGATGCATAACAACTGAGAAGATGATGGCTTGAATCAAGTGCACCTTAGTCTTTAAACTGACATCATTGCTCTCTACCACATCTTAGAGAGGTTCTTGACAGCTGATTTATCCAGTGCATTACTTTTGTTTGTTTGTTTTTTGCAATACAACTTTTGATTTCTTGACTGCTGGTGCCAAAGGTGGATCCAAACAAGATGAAATGGTTGACACCTTCAATCTTTTCTCCATCTGTCATGATGTCTCCTGGCCCAGTGGTGAGAATGAGTAATAGCATCCTTAATTGACAGTTAAGGATGAAGCAAAGGGGCTAAATAATCCATATTCAGCAGATCATCTCTGAGGGACAGAGTGGAGTCGGAACCCTAAGAATGATTCTAAAATCCTCATGCTTTCTGATATGCTACCATTGCTTGGTTGAAGATCATTTGTTAAGAGTTATATGAGTATTATATCCAGGAATTTAGTTCATATAGATGCAAACTGAGCTAGTGACTTAGTGGTAAGGAACTGTATTTCCAATGCATAGGTACATGGTTCAAGTCCACAGGAGAAAAGATAGGCAGTCTCCTCCTGTGCTTCTGAAAACCTGGTGGAGGGTCCGCTGAATCGTTTCTGAATCACAGATACACAATAACAACAATATAGAGGCTAATTATTGTTGCAGTTATTAATTGCTGTCGAGCTGAGCACCACTCACAGTGACCCTATGAACAAAAGGAAGCCTTTCCATAACTATCGTCATTTATCAAAGTTCAGAGAGTTCCCAGAGGCATGTTGTTTAGGAAGTGGATGCCACTCCTTCCAAAGATGCAAGTTAATACCCTTGGAATTAGACTTTTATCACTTGTGAAGTTGTGAAGATCGCTTAACCCCCAAATCGAAAATGTACACTTTTCACTTGACTTTCACTGTGGTCTCTTTCAATGAGGATTGCTAACTTGGATGAGACTGTGCGTTGTCAGGTCCTCCGAACTGTGTGTCGTGCATGTGGAGATGCTAATAACATTGTTGACTTCTGCTTCCTTTTGAAGCTTCCCGAGAAACTGCTCTTTTCGCAAGGTTGTAACTGGATCCAGCAGTACAGTTTTGGTCCTGAGAAATACACAGGGTCAAACGTATTTGGAAAATTACGCAAATGTGTGGAGTTACTGAAAACGCAGGTGAGTGTTCAGAGGGAGAACAACAGGCAAAGAATTAAAATTCATATCCCAAATGTAGCTCATCTCCTCTTAAGCTAGGCTTGTCCTTTTATGTTAGAAGACCTAGGCTGAAAATTCTATTAACCAAGGTTGCCTTTCTTTGCTGGTCATTCTCCCACAAAGTGATGAATGAAAGCAACCTTGTCCTACATAATTGGGCTCATTGTGGCTTCTCTGGCCTTGAAATGCTAGCAAACATGATTGTACCTTTGTTTCCTCTAAAAACAAAGTGCAAATTTCCAGATAAAATGCTAGGAATGACCATAACAGCACAAAGGTTATCATCTGCCCAGGGGTTCTCTGTGCCTTGTCATATAGATGTTGATTTTGGACTTTGTCTTAGTTGCATGATGCTGCTATAACAGAAGTATCACAAGGGGGTGGCTTTCAGGAACAGATATGCTCACAGTTTTGGAGACTCAGAGTCTGATTGCAGGGAGAAGGCTTTCTCTCTTGATTGGCTCTCTGAGCCACTGCTCCTGAGTGATCTTGTGACTTCGTGTTTCACATCCCCGTCTCTGCTCTTCTCACTTTCTTAATCTCAGAAGAGATTGACTCAAAACACACCCTACACTAATTCTGCCTCACTAACATAATAAAGACAGCCCATTTCCAAGTGGGATTAGCGTGGAGGTCAGGATATCCGACACAGAATTTTGGGGGACACAGTTCAATCCATCCCACATCTAACATTGACTGTCTAGGTTGCCCGGAGACTTTGACCTTTGTGCTGGAACTATCTTATCTATAAAACTGAAATATTAATAATACCTACCCATAAGTTCCCTGGGTGGTACAAATAGTTAGTGTGCCCAGCACCTAGCCAGATTCCTTTTGGCCCAAAGGAGCCTCAGAAGAAAGGCCTGGCAATCTGCTTCTGTTAAATCAGCCATTGAAAAGACTGTAGAGCGCACTTCTACTCAGACATGAATGAAGTCTCTGTGAGTTTCTGTCCGTTCCTTGGCAGCCGATTTAGGTTGCTTATCTACCATGTACACTTTCTGTAAGGGTTAGGTACCTGCTAGTAGTACATGTTGAGTGTTTCAAGCTGGGCCTGCCACATCCTGAATGATAAAGAAAGCAGACTCTTTTCTTTGCTAGAATAGCCTTTGTCTAACCCAACTTCATTTTCTTTTCTTTTTTCTTTTTTAACTTCATTTTCTCAATGCAGTTTTAGGAAACTGACTTGCTTTGTGTCATATCTCTAAGGTGGTGGATTTTTTTTTAAAAAAAATTGTTTCTTTTAACTGGTCTGTTCTTGTATAAGTAATATATATACACATGCATGTTTTTAAAAAGAAAATAACAATGGTCCCAAAAGATGTAAAGTAAAAAGTGCCGTTTTCTCACCCCTCTGTGGATGTTTGGTTTCTGGTTTGTTTTTTGGTTGGGTTGTGTTTTGTGGGTTTTTTTTTAATTAATTTTAATGAAAATTTACAGACTTTGGATTTCCATTCATACATTGTTGCACTTCCTCCCCCTTGGTGTTTTTTTTTTCCTTTTTACCTGTTCAACATTTTGTTGGTTTTGTTGCTGTTGTTGTTGTTTAAATTAATGAATTAATTTATTTTTCATTTCAGTGAACATCTACAGAGATTTTGGAATTCCATTCATTCATTGTTGCACCCTTCTCCCCACCCACCCCACCTCCACCCCATTTGCTCCTCTCCCCAAAAAGCAAAAGAAAAACTCCCTCATTGGTACACAATACCCCCTGCACATCCCCCAACCCCACCCCCAAACCCAAATATAATCCACTAGCACTTGGAAGTGTATGCCGTTGACCCTTCTCTTGCATCTCTGTTCTCAGTGGACCGAGTTCAGTGGGATCAAAGATTACCACAAGCGAGGAGGTATGTGCAACATGCTTTTTTCCGACGCCATCCTGGAATACAGACTCTACGAAGCCTTAAAGTTCATCATGCTCTATCAAGTCACTGAGGTGTATGAGCAGATGAAGGCGAAAAAGGTCATCCCCAGCCTGTTCAGCCTGCTCTTCTCCAGGGAGTCGTCCTCCGATCCTTTGAGCTTCATGATGAATCACCTCAATTCCGTGGGCGACACGTGTGGTTTAGATCAGGTAAACGGTGCACAAGTGAGCGCTGGGTTAAGGGTGCTGTTGGTAATGTCGGTGTCGATTACCTTCAAGTCGAGCACGACTCATAGCGACCCTGTGAACAAAAGGCCTGAAGCCACTGTACAACCATTGACATTTATTAACGTTCATAGAGTTTTCAGAGGCATGTTATTTAGGAAGTGGATGCCACTCCTGCTTCCAAGCTATTGGTAATAAGTGACCGCTTTACCCTCAGCAGGGAGTGCTGGTAAGGGTGAGCCCAGTGGGTAAGGGGTTGTACTGCCAACTGAAAGCCCAGGGCATGGGGTTTGGCTGCATCACTGGGGAAATAAGGCCCTGTTGAACTCTACTCTTAATCTGGCACAATGAAGAGACATCAGACGAGTAGAAAAAGTTTGGGATCCCCGGCATGAGAGGCGTAGAATGAGTCAGAACCCCAAAGCACATAGTCTGAATTCACCACCTGCTCCTGGGTCTTCTTCCGTGGGATTCACAGCCTCTGAAGTGTGGACGATGGATGTTATTTGCATTGCGACCCTCAGCATGGAGCCCTGGTAGTGTAGTATGTTACATCCTGAATGGCTAACTGAAAGGTCAGAAGTTTAAATCCACCCAGGCTGCTCAGTGAGAGGAAGATCCAAGAAGCTTCCCCTGTTCAGATTTACAGCCTTAAGCTCATCATGCTGAAAGGGAGCCAAGTAGAAGATCCTGGATAGAGTGAATGGAAATGTGGAACAAATCTCAAAACAAAGAAGGGCCACGCTTACTGCTCCGATAGAAATAAGAGGAACGCCACAGACTGTGGCCCTTCTGCACCCTTCACACCCACGCTGAAATCATGGCCAGGACTCAGCTTGCAGCCACATGGTAGACAGACCTGTCCAGCTAGACGGAGCTCTGATGGCCTAGTGGAAAGAAGCTGGCCTGCAATCCCAAAGGCACACTGTTTGAATCTAGCAGTTGTTTCTCAGAAGAAAAGAAGAACAGTCTCCTCCTGTGTGGTTTGCTGTCTCTGAAAACCCTCTGGAGGGTCAGCTCTGGTTCAGTTCCGACTGCGTGATGTGCGTCGACAGCTGTGTAAGGCCTGTAGGGAGCTCTCGTGCCTGGTCTGTGGGAACTGCACTACTAGGCTGGACCTCTCTGGTGCTTTGGCTCCGCCAGTGGCTCTGAAGAGAAAGGCAATCTCCTCTGTGATTCACAGCTTTGGAAAACTCTCCACACGGTCAGCTATGAGTCAATTCTAACTCAGCAACAGTGAAAGAGAGGGCTAACACCAGCGATGTGGTGGTACCACACCACCTTAGAATAATCAAACAAGTGAAGAGTGTCTGTCCAAGGATAAAGCCCCAAAGACAAGACGGGTGAAGTGTGGTGTGGACTAGTGGACGTGGGAACCACAGTGAGGACATGAGGATTCCATGACTGTGCTTATTGTAATTAATGTTACGAAACAAAACTCTGCGGATCTTGGTAAAATTCCACCCAAATCACAATAAACAATAAAGATTTACAGCCCTGGGAATCCAAGGAGGTGGGGGTATTGGCCATGAGTCAAAATCGACTGGAGGCCATTGAGCTCGTGGGTTGGTGACTCTCAGGTGTGAAGGTGAATGGTCAGGAGGGGTCAGTTGATGGTGTGGCTCTGTGCTGTAGAGGGGGTCCCACCCTGAGCAGCCCCACAAGCAGCGGAACAGATCACTGCTGGCCAGCTCTGCATGCCTTCATACTCTCTGGCATCTTTTAGTCCATTGTGGTTTTATGTGTCAGTCCCTCCAGTGACAGGAAGAGAAAGAAGTCTCACTTCTGCATGGGTGGCCCTGCGCGTCCCGCCGAGGCCCAGCACAGAGAGCCTGGATGACTTTCCACTTCACTGTCAGCCAGGAGAAAGCCCATCTGGAAAATGAGACAACTGAGGAGAAAGCCTGTGTTTAATTACTGCATAGAAAGAGGAATTTGTACAGTCCGTAAAACCCAGAACATACTTTTATGCCCTTGTTGTTGTTGTTGTTGTTGTGTACCATGGAGTCAGAACCAACCCATAGCTGACCCTCCAGGGGCTTTTCAGAGGCAGTCAATTGCACAGAAGGAGACTGCCCATCCTTCTCCCACAGAGCGGCTGGAGAAACTGCACGCTGTCTGGATTGCAGTGCAGCTTCTTGCCACGAGGCCACCCAAGCTCCCTTAGAAAGAGGTTCATCCTCGTATCTAATAAGACAGGAAACAAAATTATCAAGCATCATTTCTTTTCTTTTTTTTTAATTTAAATTTTATTGGGAAGAACATGTTGGAGATACAAGGAGGTGAGGGTTGGGAGCAGAAGGGTGAGAATGCGCAGGGATGAAAATTGCAGGGATGCAGTTGTAGGGCTGAACAATTTGGTTGGTGGGGGGAGCAGGCGAAGGAAATGAAAAGGATCCAGTGGGGACCAGCTGATTCAGGGCAATGGTAAGCATAGTCCAATGGTGATTAAACAAACTGTCTTATTCATTTGTAGGTTTCTCATTTGGGAATTGGGCACAGACTCTCTGGCTTCTTCATGCTGAACAGGGGCGTTGATGTGTAGGGGGAAAGGGAGCACACTTTATCACCTTACTGGTGGTCTTGGGTTAAAGCTGCTTCCCTTCTTGTTATATTAGAAGATATTTTCCTTACATTTACTCCCCTCTGAGCTGCAAAGTGTTTTCCCTGGTGGGTCCCGTGGGGATGGCTGACTGAACCCTGAGGCTCCATCCTCCTTTGCTTCCTTAGCTGGCAGTTGTATTTCCTTTTTGTCTCTGGAACTGGTTTCATGGTCAGGTCTGGAGTAAAACTCAGTGTTAAGATTATCTATAGGAAAGGGAACAAACCCATTCCTCCTTGGGAATCCTTGATCTCCTGATGTTGAGCCTCAATTCGCACCAAAGACCAGTCATCAACTGTTATCAATAAACAGAGGTCTGTAGAAGGCCATAGTGGCCCTCCTCCAAGTGGTTCGCTGCTCCCACAGCTCATCACGCTGTCTCCGCCTCCACTGCCATCTTGGATCCCCCCTAAGCATCATTTTTTACAAACTGATTTAATGTTGTTAAAATTCACCAGCATCTCTGCAGGAGAAGGATAAGCATTCTCCTCTCATGCAATTTACTGCCTCTGAAAACCTGCTGGAGGGTCAAGAATAGGTCCGTTCTGACTCTGTGGCAAACAGCAACAACAACAGGAGGGGAAGCAAAATTATCGTACATCTTTTTGTATAAATTGATTTAAGATGATCTAATGCTAATTAGAGATCACCATTGATTTTATTAAATGTCAGTATTTTTTAATTGAGTGGAAGTCATACTGGATTTTTATACACATTTTGTTTTAGAACATTAGTTACAGTTGATTGATGTGATTAGTTGCAATGTCTGATCAACTCCTTGTATCTCTCCTTTCCCTGCTCCCAGCTTACCTGTGATGTTAATTTCCTTCCACTTCCTGGCCGATGGTAGAGCAGTGTGGTTTTGCTGTAAATGTTCCTTTAGTTTCCAAAGAGCACTTCCCTTTGGGTTCCTCATCTTCACTACGTCTCAGCAGAGATGTGGCCGTGCTTGTGGCCTTTGGTCCGGGAATGAGCGTGTTCCTGACTCCACCCCCACTCAGTGGCTTATGTGTGGGGCTTGGATGACTAGATTGTTTCCTACACTGCAGAAGAGCCCTTCTCCTGCACTGTGGTGGGAGGGCAGGAATTTGGAAATGTGTATTTGTGACATGCCTTTCATCTCATCCCCAGATCGATATGTTTATCCTCAGCTACTCGCTTGAAGTAAAGATAAAAGTGTTCCGACTGTTCAAGTTTAACTCCAGGGACTTTGAAGTCTGCTACCCCGAGCAGCCTCTCCGGGAGTGGCCGGAGATCTCCCTGCTGACCGAGAATGACCACCACTATCTCATCCCCGTCTTCTGAGTCTGCCTAAAGTGCGCCCCAGCTCCAGCCAGGGAGGGTGGTCACAGCCACCCAAGCCTCTGGAACCCCTTCTCCAGGATTATAGGTACTTGGGGCCAGAGGCACGCGTGGACAGCTCTTCTGTGTTCTTCTGAGTGACGTCCGGCAAAGCAGCTGCACTGATATTTGTGGGTTGGCGGTGTGACCGCCTTTATAAGGGCTCTCTGGTCACTTCACATGAGGCCCAGTTGCTAAGAGCACTGGATGGTTTAACGTGAACAGTAGCAGCTATGGGACAGAAAGGGAGAAGAAAGCAAAGCCCAGGAGGCATCTAACACAAAAAGCAAGAAGGCTTTTCCTCTAACCCCGTACTCTTGCTTAAGAGTCTCTTCCGGCTGACTTTGGATCAGCGTCGGTGTGGCCTTGTTTTATAAGCATTATCTTCCTGGGATTCCTTGTGGTCTGTTGACTTCCCTGAACTACTTGTTTAAACATTGTGTATGTGTACATGTACGTGTATCTGTATATGCAGGGAGCTCTGGTGGCCTTGTGGCCAGAAGCTGCACTGCAATCCCAAAGTCATGAGGTTCGAGGCCACCAGTTGCTCTGTGGGAGAAGGATGGGCAATCTCCTCCTGTGCAATTAACTGCCTCGAAAATCTGCTGGAGGGTCAGCTATGGGTCAGTTCGGACTCCATGGTACACAACAACAACAACAACGTATATATGCATCTGCATTCACTGCACACACCTGTGTATACAGGTATGGATTTATATATACGTTCACGCACATACAGCCATTACTTTATAATGTTGTACAAATTGTTTCATAGCTCTGTAGATTTTCTTTGTTCCTGTTGCATCTGGCCATGTGTTTTATATCAGTATATCAATACAAAAGATAAATTCTTTGGGCTAAGGTAACCCAATGGCAATGCTTGAACCATCACAGGAATACTGAACTGTGGTATATTTATGTGTGGTACATGTGTGTGTAATGTGGACCTCACAGGGTCCTTGACCCGATCAGGAGAAGGTTACCCAGGGAGCAGGGGTTACTCGCTAATCTCCCTTGTTTTCACTACGGTGTGTGATGGAACCCATGTGAAATTATTCACTATGGTGGCTTATAAGCACACATAAGTGATCCTTGCTTGCTGGCTATTCTGTGCCCGTCAGGGTTTATAAATTTGAAAAGAGGCTTTAATTTTGTAGGAAGGTGCTGAGGGGTTAGGGGGGAGACAGAGAGAGAGAGAGGGACCAGCCATACTTACAAGCAGAATTTTGACCTGGTGGCGTCCCTGGTGACGTCCGGCAAAGCAGCTGCACTGATATTTGTGGGTTGGCGGTGTGACTGCCTTTATAAGGGGTGGGGAGGTGAAGGAAGGTGAAATGGTTTAGTAAATAAGCCTCTGCTCACTTTACTTACTGGGTAATCTGACACTGGTCCTAACTCCCCAAGTTATGAATATGGTGGGTTACTGACAAAGGAGAGTTAAGGTTGCAAATCAGCCGCCTTTGAAATAGAGAGGTTGGCTGGATTATCCAGGTGGGTCCATCGTGTTCATGTGGGTCCTTAAAATAGAAGAGGGCGTTGGGAAAGAGAAAGTAAGAAACATGGAAGAAGAAACAATCACAAAGAGATGATCATCTGCGGCCAGCTTTAGAGATGGACATAGAGACCAAGAGCCGAGGGCTGCAGGTGGCCTCTGGAAGCTGGACCAGAAAGGAATGGATTCTCCCCTGGAGTCTCCAGAAAGGGATGAGGACCTGCCAACACCTTGATTTTGTCCCTGTGAGACTCCTATCAGACCAAATGCAGACAGTGCGATATACGTATACTGAGGCTCTGAATTCCAGGTGATGTGTTACAGCAGCAGTACAAAACTGAGACGCTCAGGCAGATTCCTTTTTGTTCATCTTTATTTTGGAAGTACTTTGCAAGTCTATTCTGAATCTCAATAAATAGAAAATCATTTTTACAAGCATATGCCTTTTCTCTCATTTCCCACTGTATTTGACACTGACCCTTCCTCACCTTTTCAGTATTGCTCCTATGATAAATAAAAATGAGATTTGTCAGGGACTGAGGTGTATGAGAATAACAGTCAAACCCAAGGTGGCCGTCAATGCCTCGTGCATACTGTACTGGAGTTTTCTGATTGGAGAGTGGCCAGCTTGACAGCCACACAGAGCAAACTGCCTGTGGTGAGCATGGTGACCACTGAATGACACTGCCGGAAGTCATGTCCCTGGGCTGCTTTCATCAGCTGAGAAAGTTAAACAGTTCACACTCTTAAGTGACCAAACCAGATCTGTGCTGTCAAGCTGATTGTGACTCATGGTGATACTCCGTCCTGTAAGGCTGTACGTCTTTATGGGAGGAGACTGTCCGTCTTTCTCCCCAGGAGCCCCTGGGGAATCCAACCAGTGACCTTTGAGTTAGAACCCTAATATATCATGCACTATCCCACTGGAATCTCCTCAAACAATGTTAGGTGCTGTCAAGTCAAGTTCAGTGAATAATGACCTGATGAACAACAGACCTGAGCCCTGTCCTATCCCATGCCGTCCTCACAATCTCTGACACACTACAGCCCATTGCTGCAGTCACCATGTCAACCCACCTGTTTGAGGGTCTTCATCTAATTCACTGCCCCTCCACCTTCCCAAGCATGATATCTGTCTGCAAGGAATAGGCTCTCATAGCAACATGCCCAAGGTATATAAGATGAAGCCTTATCTTCTTTCCCTCCAGTAGAGATGGTGAAAAAAACACCAAACATATATCATCCTTGCCTCCAAAGACCACTCTGGCTGCAACCTCTCCAAGACATACTTGTTTGTTCTTTCTGCAGTCCCTGGGATGTTCAGAACTCTTCTCCAACACCACAGCTCAAAGACATAAATTCTTCTGTCATCCTTACTCATTGTCCAGCTCTCAGATGCATAGCAAGTAATTTCAAAGACCATGGCCTGGATTAGGCATTCCTGAGTTCTCAAATTGACATCATTACTCCTTGATAATTTGGAGAGGTCCCTAAATGCAAACTTGCCCAGTGCAATACATCTCCTGATTTCCTGACTGTTGGTACCAAGGGTGTTATGGATCCAAGTAAGATGAAGTTGTTGACAGTTTCTCCATCCATCATAACTGCCTATGAATTCTGTGATAAGGATTTTGTGTTCTTAATGTTGAGAGACAATCCATACTGAAGGCTGGATTCTTTGATTTTCTTCAACAAGTGCTTCGAGTCCTCCTCACTTTCAGCAAGCAAGGTTGTATCTTCTGCATAACAGGTTATTAATGAGTCTCCCTCCGATCCTGATGCCACATTCCTCTTCATGGAGTCCTGCTTCTCGAATAATTTGTTCAGCATACAGATTGAGTAGGTATGGGGAGAGAATACAACCTTGACACTCTACCTTCTTAATTTTAAACCATGTAGTGTTCCCTTGTTCTGTTGACACAGCAGCGTCCTGGTCTAGATTTCTCATGAGCACAATTAAGTGCTCTGGGATTCCTATTCTCAATATTAGGCATAACTTACTAGGATCCACGCAGCCAAAAATGCCTTTGCATAGTCAATAAAGCATAATTATGTGTGTGTTCAGTAAAGCCACGTGTGAGTGTCCCTTATTTACAAGGATCTTTGGAAAATTCCAAGGGTCAAAGTTTCATAAAGTAGAAAAACAGTGCTTGCTTTAGTATTTCTGTCTAATTCTAGATGTACTGTGAGTCTCATTTCTGTGCATGGAGTTTACTTAAAACAGAAATTTGCTATAAAGACCATTCCTGAAATCCGGGGGTGGGGGGGTGGGGCGGATTTCTTTTGCACCTATACGTTTGTAAACAAAGAAAAAATTCTTGTTCCTAATTTATGAAAACTGGGCTGGGACATCTAAATAGAGCTTGGTAGTTAAAACCGCATGTCAGCGTGCTGTCAAGGTTTTGTTTTGCTTGCTGATAAGCTTGCAGAGATGGAGTGCAGTGCAATTTTTAAGTGCAGGGCGGACTCAGGTTTAGATCTCTCATACCTAGGGTTGCTGTGGATTGGACTTACCTTGATGGCACCTAACAACAGCATCACCATGTTGGAGTCTGTTGATGGTGCCAACAGTTAATGTGTTTGGCTATGAGAACTGGCAGTTCCAATCTTTGAAGAAGGCCAGAAGATGTGCTTCTGAAATACCAGCTCTTAGGGCCAGGTGAGTTGCAGGCCCACGTGGTGGGCATGAGTTGGGGTTGTTTCTACAGCCACTGGTTTTTGGAATGTTTTCTAAACTGTGCAGGAGCCCTGATGGCATAGCAGGTTAAACCTTGATCAAAGACCATCTGTTGAAGGCCATAAGCTGATCTGTGGGAGGAATATGTGCCCATAAAGTTCAGAGGCCTTTGAAGGGGCAGTTCTCCTCGTCCGTTGTGGTCACGATAAGTTGGATTGAAGTCAGTGGGTTTGTATGGATTTTGTGTTTATAAGCTATAGCTGTATTGAATTGCACCTTAGGACACATCATCAGATTTACTGGTTCAGGTGAAGAAGCCTGAGACTTTCCTGGCTTTATTTCTGGTTATCTCTACCATCCCCTGATTCAGACTATGTTGTTGTTGTGTTCCACGTAGCTGATCCTCCAGCGAGTTCTCAGAGGCAGTAAATTGCACAGGAGGAGAATGTCCATCCTCCTCCCATGAAACAGCTGGTGAATTTGAACCATGTACCTTAGGCATTAAAACACAGCTTCTTATTACTAGGCTAGCAGATCTCCTGATTACAGCAAAGCGTTGTATCCTTTCTCCTTACTTATTTCATCTGTATGCTGAGCAAATTACTTAAGAAGCTGACTCTATAAAGAGGAATGTGGCATCAGGATTGGAGAAAGAATCAGTAATACCCTTTGTTATGTGGATAACACACTTGCTTGCTGAAAGTGAGGAAGACTTGAAGCACTTGCTACAGAAGCTCAAATACTCCAGCCTTCAGTATGAATTGCATCTCGTTATCAAGAAAATAAAAATCCTCACCACTG